TATTTGTTAGAGAAATGGCATTTATTTTTTTATTTTTTTCATGTGCAAAATACCAAGTCCTTATATAAGTGGAAACTGTAGCAAACTTTTAAAGTTTTATAAGAAACATTAAGATACATTTGAGTAAAACATAGGTATATTTACAGTATATTAATCTGAAATTTACCATATTGAGCTTTAAAAAGAAATTCAACCATTATCTAAATCAATTTACAACTTGTTGCAAAACAAATTGATCCCTTAAAATGAACATGTTAACAAAACCATTGCTAAGAGTATTATTTGATATTCAAAATCTTGTGCAAGTGTGAAAATCTTTTTTAAGAAGAAAATAAGAGAAAAAAAAAAAAAAAAAAAAAAAAATACCTTGCAAATGTGTGTAAAGTATCACAAATTCAAAAAATTGACTATTGAGAATATTTTTTGTTTTCTATTTTGTTTGTTTGTTTGTTTGTTTGTTTGTTTGTTTTTTTTGTTTTGTTTTGTTTTGTTTCTTTGTTTGTTTGTTTTTTCTTGTTTGATATTATGTCTATTTAACCGATTAAATATATCTAAATTTTTTATTGAAGTAAATTTATAAAAAGCTTGTTATACGATACTTATTAAAAAATGAGATAAATATAATATTTGTATCTTAAATTAGATACGGATATTTTAACTATACTAAGATATTTTTAGATTCTAAATGATTCAATTAAAACAAATATTTTTAATAGTATCTTTTATAAAACAATTGATATTTTTGTTATGTGTTATTATATTATATTTTTATCTATCTTGAGAGTATAATAGATTACAAACATACTTGTTTTATATTAAAAAAATAAATAAAAGATACAAAGTTATATGCCAAGATAAAAATAAAAATAAAATATAAATGTATATCTCATACAATACAAAGTAGAGTTTTTAGAGTAAATCAATTCAAATAATGGTTGGCATATAGATCCTAAAAGAGCACAAACTATTATAAATTATAAACATCTTAAACTTAAATTTTATGTTTAACATTTATAAGGTTTTTAAAACTACTATAGAATATTATTATTATTATTTAATATTATTATTTATGTAATTAATCAGAGTTAATTTAAATATTTAAATATAGATGGAAAACAACATTCTAAGGTTTAAAATAGACTTTGCTATAATTCCTATTTTATTTTATTTAGATTTCTTATAAAGCATTTATTATGGAGACAGATGTATTGAATTTTTTATTTGTTAAATTTTTATTATAAATAGATGCAAATGACAGACTTTAATCTATTGCTTTTTATGCAGAAAAACTTCTCAACAATCAAGATGAAACTAAATTACACAGCAAGAAATTTTATAGTATTTTAGATTTGTAAAAACAAATTACATTGTTATTTCGTAGAGTCTTCAAAGCTTTCTTCATTTCATACTATTTACATAAAACTTAATTATTTTGTGTCAATAATTTGTACTAAAAATCAGGTAGTCTTAAAATCAGACAGTCTTAGAAAATACAAAGGACTGCCAACTTCATGTCTAAACATCCATGTTATGTACCAAAAGAGGCAAATGCTTCATAAAATCAATAACAAACCATCTCTTGAAAACTAAAGCAACCATGTTTTGACTTATAATATTAAAAATTCTTCTTGATCTTATGTTTTTTAATGTAATCTGTTCAAGTACGACACCAAGTTTCATGATGACTATATTTATTTTGATTTTATTTAGAACCTTCTCTATCATAAAGAACATTTACATGATTTAATAAATCAAGGAAGATTATATGTTATTTGAGAAGAACATTAATTCTTAAAAAATAGACATTTTATATAAAATAAATATTTAGAGATTATTCCAAGAAATTTTGGTGGCTTTAAATATAGTAAATATTTAAAATATTTTTTTCAATCTTGTAATAATTGCTATTATGCAATTGTTCAATATTTTTCATCTTATAGACTTCTTCAATATTTACTTATTTAAAAAATAATAATAATGGATTTTATTACAGATAATTTAATTTGTAGATTCTTACAACACTATAATTATTTTTATAATCTTTCGAACCAAAATGGCATGATTATATATAAAATATTTTCTATTATTAGAAAGTTCATTCTTACAATTTTACATTGTATTCATTAACATCATAAATTTTTAATTAAAGTTATCTTATGAAAGATCTAAGTTTGCATTAAGATTTTAGATGTTTATTAAATTACAAAAAATTGATATCAAATTTTTTTATGGTTTTATGTTTTTAAAATAATAACTAAATAAAAGGTAAATTCTAAGTTTTAGAATAATAACTATAATTTCTTATAAAATTTTACAAAAAAACTAGAATTATTTTTGTTATTGGAAAAAGAATTAAATTTAAATATGGCACATTCTTTTGCTCAATAAACGCCATAATTTTTTTTTAATTATGAACATTATTATTTTTTATTTTCAAAAACACATTAAAAATTAATATATTAAAGTATTAGAAAAAATAAAAAATCTATCTAAAGAAAAATTTAATATAGAACAAAAAGCTGATATGGATGTCTAATGAAAACAACATATATTTAAAATTGGTGATACAGTATAGTTGTTTTGTTTTAATATTAAGACTAAATAATCTTATAACAAGTTGAGTTAAAAGTTTTATTATAATTATTATTGCAAGTTTTAATATCTTTAAAAATTTATAAGTTTTTTTAACAAAAAATTAAAAATGTATATCAACATATGTAAATAGAAAATTAGATACATCATATCACATTTGAGGTTTATTTTTAAAAAATTCATCAAATAAACCAAAATATTTAGAATGTTGATCTATCTGAGATGGCATTTTTATCTTTTACTTAAAGATTTGTGTTACATTAAAATTAATGCAATGAATTTTTACAACCATGTCAATTTCATTTATTAAGAAACTCAAATGATATTATAGGAAATCGAGAAGAAAATATAATACATCAAAATAAAATTACGTTATATATTTCTATTAGTCTTATATACTTAAAACAATGGTATTTTGTGTGCATTTACTCCACAAAGGCATTATATTTCTTTACGTGTCTATCCACAACTGAATTTATTTTGAATTTTTCACCAATTCTTGATTTATTTAAGTATCTTAATATCTGAGAAAGGTGAAAAGAGATACAACATCTAATATTAATACCAATACAACATCCTACATACTTTAACTATATTATGTGTTGTTGTCTTTGCAATAGTCACATAGCATTTTATTTATTTTGATTTTGTTGTTGTCATGTTTTCTAAGAAAACAAATCCATTTAAAATTTAATATGAGAGAAAAATGACTAAAACTATGATTGGAAATACAAAATATATTTTTAAATATTGATTTTTTATGATATAAAGAAACACTTTTTTTTAAAAAAAAAATCATGCATAATACTTTCTTATTTTTAATCTATTGATATGAGTGTGTGTGTGTCAAACTCATATTTGAAAGTTCGCCTCATATTGAAATTGAATGTAGAAATTGTTAAATTAAACAAAAACGAAAAAGCTGAGAAACCAGTACAATAAAATGTTTAGCAGTGAATGATTTATTAAAAAATAAAAAATAAAATCTAAATTGTACATGCTCGATTTAAATTCTCAAATTACCAATTTTTCAACTCTATCAGGTAAACAACAGTTAAAAGATTTAAAATATGAAATTATAGTTTTTTAAAATCAAATTTTTAGAGAAAATAAATGCGACAAGTAGTTTCTGTTTGAGATATTACATAATGCCTCGAAAAAATGTTTATAAATAAATGAAGGGTTTTCAATTTTAACAAATTAGTAACTTTAAATACCAGTGAACATATTTTATAATGTTCAACATTTATTTCTCGAATTGAGTTATTTATTTTAATATGTGTGCATATGTATATATATATATATATATATATATATCAAAAAATGTTTACAATGAGGTACTCACCCACGATCTTTTGATTCAAGAACACATATCCTACCCTCAAAAATCAAAGTTCATCTAAAGCTGAATATGTCGAAGGAGATATACATGACTGTGGATAGTTCTTTCTTTGATTTCTGATTTTTGTTTTTTTTTCGAAATCACCTTTAGTGCAGACAGTCATTATTATATCCTATATGAGTGAATCAATTGCTGTATTCATAAACATTGTTCAAAAACAAAGGAATTGAATATGGCTGACTTAGAACTTATACAAACCAGTAGGAATTAGTAAAATCCAATGAAGAAATTCAGTTGCACTCTGACTATGATAATTGTGATCTTTTAAGTTTTGTTATTCCATATTAAATCTTACAAGATGTTTTACAGATGTCTATGAAACAGAAAATATTCCGTAAAAGACAAAATACTTTAAATATGCATTAATTCAATTTCATTTTCAATATACTTGGAAAATAAAAATAATAATAATAATAATAATAATAATAATAATAATAATAATGTTATTAAATATTCCAAATACTCCTTTTAGATTTATTCTTTTTTTTTTTCTTTGAAAAAAGAAATTTAGTAAAACAATATCATCTTTTGTAACAAATCTAATTGGATTCAATATAAATGCAATGAAAGATAAAAAGTGTGCAGACTACGTATATAAAGAAAAATAAGAAAACATCTCGTGAAAGTTTTAAAAATTGATTAGAAGTATAAATCACATATCGGCAATGTTCAATATGATTTATACACAGCTAAATTCATTCACAGTATTCATTGTCTTTACATATTACACCCAGTGAATTTTAAATGTGGAAAATACCCTTATTCAAAAGAAGAAGCATCAAAACAGAAAATAGAAGTTAGCAATATGTTGTTAAGAAATGACATAAAACCCATCAATAATTACAGTAAAAACAAATAAGCTCATTATTCAATAATTTTTATAATATGAAAAAATAATTAGGTAAAATTAGATGAAAAATATTCATTTAAAAATCCTATGAAAGTGAGGATTGTGTATAAATATATATATATATATATATATATATATATGCATTTACAGAAGATGGTTGTTTTAATAAAATTATAATGAGTTTAATGAACATAAAGTTATCATATTTAGATACTAAAATAACCTAATAACAATGAGAAAGCATACGTTAATAAAATTGCAAATGCTATCGATTTTGAATCATGTGATAAACTCTGACAAAAAACTGTTTTCAAAACTGATAATCAATGATCTTAAAAAGTTACAAAAACTCTTAATTATATTGAACAACAAAAAATATCAAAAGAGTATCAACGACTTATTAAAAAATCAAAAAGAAAACAGCATTAGATACCAAAACTATGAGCCCAAATCCATTTTTTATACAAAACCATTAAATACTAATAGTAAAGGTGTTCAATTAAATGAACGTAAATTTGTTTTGACGAAGTTGAATAACTCCGAGCATTTTGATTCAAACAAATCTATAGAGTTTCCCATAATTCATAGCGTTCCTGGAAACATACAATCCAAATCCATTACTGATGATATCGAAGATTCTACGGTAATTAGTGGAGCACCATATGGAATATCAAGCAATTCATTGGTTTTAGGCCAAATGTATATCTCTTCCACAGAATGCTGTATAAAACAATTCAAACCCAATCCTGCGAATGAATATTCAAAAAATAATTCTTCTGTGAACTTATCTGATGTACTTGAATATGCATCAAAAGAAAACAAAACTGAAAGTAAAGATAATTCCAAAAATGATTTCACAAAAGATTTGTTTGGAAAATGTGTTCATTATAACTCCAAATTGAAACCTAAAATTTATCAAAACAAAAATATAAGTTGGTTTGAAAACCCTTGTATAATAAATACCATTAGTAAATCTGAAGCACCTAACACTACTGACATCAAAAGTTTTATTACCGAAGATGACTCCTTATTTGCTTTTCAAAAAGAAAAAGTTGAAGACTATCATTTAAAATTATGGTTGAAAACAGATTTGAATAATGATAAAATATTTGAAGAATCTCCAAACCTTTACCACTCATTTTATTATAGAAAAAATAAGCAGATTATAAATCCTTCTTGTCATGATAATACACTAAAAACTACAAAAGGTAGAAATCATGCAGAAAAAGTGAAGAAAACATCTTTCTCTGAAGTCGAGATTACAGGTACATATAAAAACGTATTTTCCAAAACTTCAAATTCAGAAACATGCAACAAAGGATTTGAAGACAAGATTGTTGAAACGTCCAAAAAAAACACCAACATACATATAGACACAAGTTTAAAGCCAAATACACAATTTGAAATTCCGCTTGAAATCAAAAAACCCCTACCAATATCTACACTAAGCACCCATGATTTTAATTTGCATGTAGAACCACAAATAGTGAGAGAAAATGAAATGATTTGCAACAATGTTCTACAACATGATATTCCTGTAGGGACACAAAAAACTAGTTCAAAGACTTGGAATCAATCTCTTCATTTGAAAAATTCATCAATGATTCATGAAATTAACAAAAGTGACAAAATAAAACAACTGCACACAACACATACAAGTAAAAATCCTAAAACTGATGTACCCTAGGAATCTAAACAATTGGAAACACTTACATTTCTCAATAGCATCGACTGTGAAACTTCAACACTGGAGGATGAAATTTTGGAAAAGGGTCCAATTAATGAACCTCAACAAACAGGAGAAGTGCATGAAACAACAGAGAACACTGAAGATTATACAGATTATTGTAGTGATAATTTACTGGACATTAAAGTGGAACAACCATTTGAATTAAACCCTGAAGTTGAAAAGCATCCAACTTTAAGTCATACAATCACAATATATGATGATACCCAGTTTGACATGATTGATAAAGCAACTCAAACAGACATTAGTGCCCCACCAGATGATGAAAACATACTCAACAAACTTGTTGGCTACATTTGCCTTAAAGATCATGAAATCAACTTTAAAAGGAAAAAATGCTGTTTTGTATTTACAAATTAGCATTTTTATCAAAATGTTAATTTCAAAATCCAAATTTTGATTACATTTTAGCTAATTGGTATGTTTTTTTTATTATATATATATATATATATACATCCACATATAGAAATATTGTATTTAGAACACAAGTTATACATGTTGCTTACAATCTTGTTACGATTCATTTCTGAAGCAGTTATTCAATTATATATATATGTGTGTGTGTGTGTGTGTGTGTGTGTGTACACACTATATTTTTTACATTTTATATTTTGCATTGGTAAATAACTTATTTTAAGTGCTGAAAATAACAAATGATAATGTATATTTGATCTGGTAAATTATTATTGAAGCGTTCCAAAAATCATATCATTGCAGAAAAAAACATTAAAGGTGTGTGTATTTGTATCATAAAGTTTAAACATACTTAAACATACAGATATGAAATTTCATTTATTAAACTACACCCAATCTTGTATTAACGATATTTACATTTTTATATACATCTATATTCATGCAATAATTTTCCTATCCATAGGTGTATCAACATTAATCTCCAGCTACGAAAAGTAATATTACCTTAACATGTGATTTCTTCATGTAAATATGCGGCAATCTTCTTGAGCCACACAAAACTTGGTTACGATGAACGCTGCTCCCCCGAAGTTATTAACACCGCGAGAAAGTAAGTATCTCAGTTCCGATCTTATGTTGGACCCCCTGGTGGCACCACAGTCGACAACAGGAGGAATCAGTCTCATATCTTAGTAGACGATAGAATGAATTTTATAGATTAGTGAAGCCATTCCTTCTCTGGGTTCGAGCTTCATTGCATGGAGCGGCTACAAAAGATTCTGACAGCCGGTTTGATGCTGTGCACATTCTTCGGCATTTCCACTTACCATCATCAGCAGAGTTGTAAATGCTGGGAGGGTGCATTGATTGAAATGTTTTGAGTAGACTTCACATATATATATATATATATAAGCATCGGGCAGTGGAGTAAAAACGCAACTAATCATCATGAGATAGCAATCCAGATTTGTGGTTCTGCCAGCACTCCACAGCAAGCAAAAAGAATGGAAGCAGTGACCGGCCCAGTTAGACTCGGAGCTTTACGAACTCATCGTCGGCGAAAAGATGCTTCGCCGTCGTTTGTCCTGTCGAATTTATGAAGTTATTCCTGCTCATCTCGTGCGGAATAGTGCTTCGTTGGCTGCATATCCTCAAGAGCTTGTTAACAATCTGCCATTCCCACGATTTTCTCCGATGCTGCACAAAAAATCTCGCGAAACAAACTCGGAATTATCCTTATTTTATTCCATGAAGTGAAGAGACTTTGTCGCCACACGTAGGTGAGCACTTTCTACTGCACACCAGAATTAGAACTGAAATCGTAACAACCTCAAAGCCCGTGTTCGAGAGCTTTCCACCACGGAATCCCTCCACCATTTGGATTGACAACACAGGGAATCGAAACCCGTATCGGGGAGATATTCTTTCCTTGCGTTGGTAGTGGTTACCCGGTTGCAGGAGAATTGAATCCACCACAGGGGATTCGATATTAACAGGAGGAGTCATGAAGGATGGGGAATGTCTAAAGCTTGGCCAGGCAGGCACGACGGGGATAAAAGCGACGGAGATCCCAGCAACAAACACCTTCGGAAGGAGAAGGAAAGCTGGGCCTTAAGTGCAGCAGCTTTCACCCACACATACTAATTATCGATTATCTTGTTGTTTCCGCACCCCACGCTTCTCCATTGGCAATGGCGGGAACAAGGTGGATTGCAATCTTAAGTCGTTACCATGCTCTCATGCAATGGCGATCCGATTCTGCTTTGCGGTGGCCATGGCCCGGCATTCGAGCTTCAAAGCTCACATGCATATCCCAAAGACTTGAGCTGATACTAAGACTTGCTTCAGGATAAGGAAGAGGGGAAGGAAGTCATCTTCAAATCCATTTGTAAGAGATAAGCAAATCACCCAATTACTGGATGTGTGTATAGCAATTTGAGATGTTTGTGTAGCGTAAGTCTTCTCTTGTTCTCTATAATGGCACTTGTGTTTTCAAGCTTGGAAATAGTGCTCTTCCAAATTCTCTATGGAAAATAAATTCAATCATGTTTTTGTATGAGAATTTGAAGGGTTGCGAGTGACAAACTATCTGCTCCTAATTATATGTGTATACATATTCAAAATGTCTTCTTTAAAAATCAGAATTGTGCAGTTTGATGCTATACAATAAAAACAACTTTGAATTGATGTTGATTTGTAAAAGAATGTGCTTTATTTGCTTTGTGTATAACATATAATTGTGTAGGATATCTGTAAATTATTCATGTATATGTTTTTAATTATATCTCTTAGCACATCTCTTTGTGTGTATGTATGTTGCTATGAGAACAATGAAAAGTAATCACAAGAATAATAAGAATTTGTGGATGTCTTTTTGCACATGTTCATGGAAACCAATCAATTGTGAATGGGTGAACTCATGTATATATGCATGTATGTATGTACATATGTGTGTATAATATGGGATTAATGAATGAAAATAAAATGATGGACATAAAAATTTATCGCAACTATTTGACATGGACTATTGAATGTTTGTTCATTTGAAATTGCAATAAAATTGTGAACACCACTGTTACTATTTTTGATAAGAATCATTCGAATTTTATTACGAGACAAAGGTATTTGAATGCATTGCTCAAAATTTAATTTTTTAAGTATGTATTCTTCTATTTCATAAAATATTTAAGTATAATATTGCCTTCAAGAATAAAAAGGTGTTTGTTTATCATATGTACAGTTGTACCCCACTTAATATATAACCTCTATAAATGAGGAATTTATAAATTATGTAAGAATTATTAATTAAAAAATAAATTTTTATGATATAGGAATAACTTTTGTTGTAGCAAATACTATTTAGTAAGCCACGAATATTAGTTAAAGGTTATCCAATGACCAGAATATCTATATATATATATATATATATAGTGATAAGCATATATATAAAAAATTATGCATGTTATTGAAAATATAAATTTTCTCTATATTATTTTTTACAATGTCCAAAGTATATAAGATCTAGTGTCAATTCATGAGTAAAATCAATACTTAAAATCAAGTTGTGATGGATTTTTGTTGCATTCTCATAGACACTCGAGGTTGTTTTATTTATTTATTAATCTTGACTGTATTAAATTTTTACATTGAAAATACAAATTGTACAGTTCTTGGTTGTAGAGTTTACATTACAATTTAATATTATGTCTATTGCAACTTTCCTCAAGACCAGGTTTAGGGTTTGATACAGTAATGCAACTTATCTCAAACTTGCATTAACAATTCACTCCCCAAAAAAACCACAGCTCCAATGCTCGTATGTAATACACATGTAATTAAATGTTAGATTTAAAATGTTTTGTTGTCCAATCTGTATCTGCGAGGGCATAAGTATAACAACAAGAGTTGTAGAGACTCTCAATAGTACATGCTCACGGTCATGGGAGGACGCTTTCAGAACAGGAAGTCACACCGTGTGAGAAGGTAGGGGGGAGCACAAAACCGCAACCCAATGGGGTTCAGTAGTGTGAACTGGACAATGAGTGCCCTACCACCGCGCCCGATCCGCACCCTGCAACCGTGCAAGTGCAAGCAGCATTGTGACCAGGAACGAACACGTGCAGCACGTGGGTCCCATAACAAATAGCATCCACATCCGTAAGCCAAGTGGCGGATCAGGAGGAATCTTCGCTGTTTCCACGTGCGCGGAAGCTTCCAGTAGTTTTGACGAGTGGATGACAGTCAGAACCGCCTTGTGGATGGACGGATGAATTTATAGTAGCATTTGGATGATCGTTCGGGTATATACTTGGCCACAAGCGCATGCTCTCTGTCCACATCCAACCTTCCGATGGATGAATGATATTATTTGCTTTTGTGAGTCTCATCTACTTTACAAGTACTAATGGGTCATGTTATTCCCAATTCAATTCAATAAGAAAAAAATATATATATATATATATATATATATATACACACATGTGACTTACTCAACAATGACACAAATTATAATGCATTGTGTGCCATTGCCTAAAATTTTGTGCTTTCTTCCTTCAATAATAATAATAATAATAATATTGTTTACTTAGAATGGAATTAGAACAGAAATTCCATTCTTAGTCAATAAAGAATAACAAGTTTCTTACTGATTTATTTCGTTTTCTTAGTTGCCTTTCGTGGGTTTATTCAAATTTAATATACAATTTTTTTTTTCTATGTTGCAATTTCTTCTGTTGTTTTTTTTGTTTTATTTCAGTAGGTGAATAATGATTTTATCAAAATCACTACGACTTCTCTTACTTAAGGATTCGAATACAGATTCTCATCAATTAATTCAGATTGTTAGAGCTTGCAACAACAGAGTTGTGAAATCATCGTTGCTGAAAGCTGGCTTAACTGTAAGGATCAAAAAGTGTGCTTTTTAAAATATTAAAAACAAGATGCCACTGCCCGCATATTAAAATAGATAAATAAAACTTTATTCGAAGCATAAAATAAAGTGGCAGCTTCAAGCAAGAAGTAATAGTAAAACTTAAAAACCATATCTTTTATTAAAAAAGTAACAAATTTTCGTTTTAGAACTTATAAAATCAGCCGACAAAATACACCTCATATTTTTGCAATGTAAAATTTTAAGCTTTAGGGGTAGAATGGTTGAAGGTCGATATAGATTTTGCATTTTGTACTAAAAATATATTTTAGAAAGAATCTCACAAACATTTGATCTAAAAATAAATCATGTGGTAGACTTAACTCCTTTCTTCCATGAGTTAAACATGCGAATTGGCCACAAATATGAGATTTAATTTCAGTGAACATTTCGAAATAAATTCATTTTGTAGTATTTGATAAATCGAACTGTAAATAATTCAATTCCACGATTGTATTTGTACCTAATTCATAACAAACCTCTTAACTGGGGAGCCACTTATCATTGTGATGGTGTTTAAAATATGCCCAAATTTCACAAATTTTTTTCTTACAGATGGTGTACTTTAAGATCTCTTACCAACATCAATATCAGCAACAAAATAATACAGTGAAGAATTATTATGGTGTTTAACATGCAAACATTTTGAACATAGTTATGTTTAGTGGAAAGTGACTCATAGTACAAAGAGCTTCATACTTCACAATTATTTTGATGTATTTTGATAATGTTAAAATACTGAACCGGAAAAGACAGGTGGCACTCGAAAAGATAGAAGATGAAAAGAAAAAAGAAAAAGGTTGACATTGGTTGGTTCTTGCAATCCTACACATATTTTACTATAATTTTTTAAAAATGTATTTTTTCTCGTAAAACACTCTTAAAAAAAGAAAATCAAAAACAAAAACAAACATAGTGAAAAATTTAATCTGGGTTATATAGAAATTACAAGGCTTTTTAATGACTTCAATTGACCATTATTAGTTCTGAGTGTTGAGATTTCGTGTCATTAAACAAAAGCAAAGCAAATAGGAAGAGAAATCAATCATAAACATGTTCTTATTAACTAGTCATTTTTAAAAAAAAATTAAAAATTTTGTTTTGTTTAAATTCAAAATTTTCCTGTTTAATTGAGGTTCATTCAAACCTTTTATAAACTTCCACAGAATTATGGATATCAACGCTGTCATTATTTTGTACTTTCACGAGGTAAAAACTTCTCATGTAAAATTTTCATTGATCTAATATCAATATTTTCTTTATTAGATTCTTTAATATCATATTAATGACCATGAGTCATTTGACAAATTTTATCACATGTACATACTCAGAAACTTCAATTCTAACCCATTTAAAATGAACATAAAATCTCTTCCATATTTTTTGAGCAAATCAACTCAAAAGTATAATAATCATATGTAACCACATTGTAATTCACTCTACACAAAAATTAATACATGTTCATGTGCATAACACACATCCCAACAATAACGCAACAAGTGAAGGTTTGGCCAACAAAGATGAACACAAATCCACCACAAAGGAATCATCGAGCATATTCCTTTTTGAATAGGAATATATGTATATATATATCGAATTCCGTTGAATACATCAAACACGGATGAGGAGAAGTGGTGGTAGTTACATCCATCAGTTCATCCACGATACATTCATCCATCAACAGAGGGAGGCGGCGATCGGGTAGTAGAAGGGGTGAGGCAGAACCCAGCAGCCCAGCAGCAGCCAGCTTTCTGACTCTCACGTACAGAAATCGAATCTCAGTGCCCCCCACCCCCCCCCCTCCTCGATTTTAATTACATAAAAATGTACCCAATACTCCAGATATCCTTCTGGTACCGTGGTCTTATACCCGCTCCCTACCCGTTTCTGCCGGGTGCGGACCCAAGGGGGTGGGTGGCGACTCAAGTGGAGGGCGAGGGGCGGGGACTGGGGGGGGGGCCAGATTCTTAAGGTGCACGGAGGAGTGCGCAATTTGCATGATGTGGTTTGATTCGCTTCGCTCTGCTTAGCTTTGCATTGCCCCTCTCTCTCTCCTGCTTCTACTCCCTGCTCGAGTGAGTGAGTGAGTAGTTGCGTAATTTTGGCTGGCTGGCTGTTGCTGGCGTTGTTGGCGTTGTTGGCGTTGTAACAAGGTGGATAGAGAACCTCTCTCGCTCTCTCTCTCTCTCTCTCTCTCTCCTCGACTTCGGTGGTGGTGGTTTGGACTTCTTTGTATCGCTGGTGCCACGTCGTGTTATTATTACCATTATTATTATTATTGCCTGCGGCGGCATTATAGTGTGTGTCTAGGTTTACGTGGCGCTGCTGAAGTGGTTTCACAAGTGTGTGAGTTTTTCTTTTTCGTGTAACGTAGGAGTGGTTTGCGATTTTCATCTGCTGACGATTCCGAGATTGGGCGGGGTGGCAGCAGCGTGGAGAGAGTGTTCGGTATTTTTGCGTATCGAGGTCGCGTTTATTTTATTTTATTTTATTTGTAACTGGTGTTAGTTTTGCGCATTACTCGTAGTTGTTGCCTCGAGGTTATCGGATGAATTGGGGGTAATTGTTGTCTGGCGCTACCTTGTTCACCACACACTACCTGTTCTGTAGACTGTTGGTGTGTGTGTGTGTGTGTGTGTGTGTGTGTGTGTTTTTTTTTTTTTTTTTTTTTTTTTTTCTCTCGGATTTTTCATCAAAGGCTGATCTCGTTGTCTGAGTACAGTAGTGAAGAAGTGCTGTCAAGGTTCTTTGTCCTCAC